CAATCTATTATCGTTAATAAAGCTTGCATTGAACTTATTCCTAATTATCAATCTTTTGATGATAAAAATAAAGAGATTCACCGAAAAAGAATCAAAAATATTCTGAGGACTTATCATACATTTTCAATTTCCCAATCCGCACGTATTAAATATTCATTAACCATATATACAAATGGTCATCCTTTGAGATTTCAACGTTACAATGCTCATAATAATTATTTAGAAATTATTTATTATTGCGGATATAAACCTAGATGCAACTTTTGTATGCATGTAAAAGTCTTTGATGAGAAATTAAATATTTCTCCTGAAGAAAAACCAGACAGTAAACTTCATAACTGCCGACCTGCAAAACAATCTCAAATAATTAAAGGAACAAATCCAATGAACTATGATATTGAATCTCAAGTTCAAGATTATGTTGTCAAAAATCCAACCGCAACGATATCAGAAACAAGAAAGTATGCAAATCAACTGATATATGACTGTAATCAAGCCCAGTCTACTAATTTCATTCAGATATCAGAGAAGAAAGTCCAACAGCTGTATTATGAAGTTCATCCTGTCAAATCAAAATCAGAGATTGATCTTATTAATGAAATGTTAGAATTTTTTAATCAAAGATCATATTTTATTACCCAAAGCACAAAAAATGATAATGCCTATTATTTTTTTGGATTGGAACGTTTCATTCGAGTTGCACGGTATTCATCACATTGTTTTATTGATGGAACCTTCAAAGTCGTTCCTGTATCAATAATGAATGGCCAATTATTAAATTTGTTAATTTTTGACCAAGCAACTCAACTGTATCTACCGTTTTTACATATAATCATGACGGGAAGAACAGAAACTGATTATCAAAGAGTATTTAGTATTATGGAGTATGATACTGATATTAAAATTCCTTTATCAACATTTGATGTTATAACAACTGATTTCGAAAAAGCACTTCAAGGCTCAATTTATAAAAGAAAAGGAGAGCAAACCATATTGACTGGATGCATATATCACTTTATTGCAGCATTAGTTAAGAATTTCAAGAAAAAATGTGATCCAGAAGATCTTAACAATAAAATTCTTTTAAAGTTATTATGCGCTTCTCCATTCATGCCAGAAGAAGTTTTTGATTTGGTTTGTAATAAAATTAAATGCATTCAAGATACAAATGAATTTGCAAAATACTTTATTAAAACATGGAGCACAAGCTATAATTCAATCAGCAAGCTCAAAGTATTCGACAATATTTATTCTAATAATGGCGTAGAATCGTACAACAAAGTGTTAAATACAAATATTGTATATTCACATCCCACAATTTTAAAGACGGTACACACTTTAATGAAAGTGGATTTAGCGATTTTGCATCGATATGCACGGGCAGATAAAAACACAAGTGATCATAAACAGTCGTATTTCATTAAATTGAAAAAAATAAATGAAGAGATTCAGTTATTTGAAGAGCATTTTGGTCTGGAAATATCATTAATTCCTGAGGATATAATGAAAAAATATAAGGATTTGTCCAAACATTCTGGAATTGATTTCAGAGATATTGAAATTGAAAGGTATATGTCAAGTGATCAAATACTTGATGACATTCAAATAAATTTAGAAGAAACAAAAAATGAAAAGATAGAAAACATTGAAATTGCCGAAGATGATTTATTTCAATAATATGTAACATTGATTTCTATTCAACTTTATCGTTATTATAATAAACATTTTTATGATTTTTTTAATATTTTTTATAAGTAGATTGAAGATTATTTGATGGAAAGATGTATATATATATACATAATGTACCTTACAATATCTTCATGCTATGAATTCCAGAATAATGACAAGTTTTCATTCTTAATTAGAAGTCTCAAATATTTTGTCTATTTTTTCATATTTTTTCTATTTTTTTCACCATTTAAAATTTCTTAAATTCTAAATATAGCAAATTATATCATTTTACTTTCTGCAACGATTTAATCGATAATTATATGAATATTATTGTAAATATTTCTAAAATATTTTAAATACAAATAATTTTAAACTGAACCAAATAAATTGGATAACTTTAACTCAATCAAATAAATATTAATATGAATTTTTATAGAAAAGCTTTATTTTTTTCTCATTTTTAATTTCATTTCAGTCTCTAAACTTTCTTACTATGTAAAACGTATTATTATAGTAATAAAATAAAATACATGTTTATTCGATCTCGTATTTCAAAAAAATAAAATTACTTATATAAAAAGATTCTCTTTAGTCAACTTTCTTTTTGAATCTCTAATAAGTTTTTACTGTTGCTTCTATATATTAAGTATTGATTCTTGTAGTAAAGAAAATCCGGAACGTTTATTTATTAGAATACTCGAACTTTGACTTACATATTACTAATTGTAATTATTTTCAAGAGCTATTTCTATTACTCCTACTTGTTCGGCTTAAAATCTGCTATATTGTTAAGATAAACTAAGTCTAAATTTTTGAACCATTTTTTGAAGTTTAAAGTGTAATACATATCGATTTTTTATCCGAATTTAAGAATTGCTTCAAAGTTTTAGCGTGAAATCGTGCATTTTTTCTAATGAAATTGTTATTATAAGATAAGCAATCTGAGTTTTTTTTGAATAATATGTCACTACACATGATAGAGCGTTACGTGCTGAAAAGTTACGCTTCGTTCTGAAAGTGGTAATGAAGTTTTATTAGAATTCATCAAAAAAACGTATGAAAATAATCGTATGTCAAAATGTGAGCACTTCTCAAAATTTGCTCACATTTTGACTATTTTTGTGAGATCTTCCTCACAATTTTTTGACAAACGTACAAAAAAGTGCCAAAATGTGAGCAAATGTGAGCAATTTTTATATCTCATCAGCAATAGCTAATTGATATTTTATTTTGTATTGATATTCATTTTTCTCATATTATACACGATTATATCTCTTTTTTTAAAAAAGTTTTTATATTAGACATGAAAGTTGAATTAATACAATTTTGTACTAGAGTTTGTTTGTATATTAAATAATAATGATATATACTTCAACATATTGCGTCTCACCATTACCAAAATGTAATTTTGCATACAATTTTCTTTCATTTAACAATGATGTTATTTGAAAAGTGATACTTCCATGATTATTGATTAATGTTCCATCATATATAGGAATGAATGTTAAACAAGACACGCCTGCAGCTGGGTGCATTCGTGGCATTGTGATAAGGCTTATATATAAAGACTTCTCTCGATCAGCATTACGTCAAATGAATATTGACCCATTATTTTGGCGATGCGCTAGTTCCAAGTAGAAATGCTTTGGTATATTTAGGTTATGTCTATATGTTATGAATCATGGTATTATTGATAAAAACGTTCTTAGTCATTAAATCAATCCTAGTATCTAAAGATATAATTTAGATTTTTTTGTTTATTGCTAAAATTAAATACAGTATAACTTTCTTTCATATTGTCGGTACTAACAATACAAGATTGTGTTGAAAAAAACTTAAATATGCATGAAAATTAAATTTAATGTGTAAATATGATAAAAATTTCAACTTTACTAATAACATACATAAGTTTCTGATAGTTTAATATAGTTCATATTGATGTGACTGTAAACTATATCAAAAAAATATTTTTAAATATTGTTATGCAAATAATGGGATTTCTAAGGAAAAAATGATTATATTTGTTATATAAAGCAATCTTTTTAATTATTCACTACGTTTATTACATTTTTTGCCGACCATTTACGTAATATGCCTCCACCAAGCAGACGCAAACAACAAAGTCGTGAAGCTAACGAAAAATCAATTGAAGCAAGAAAAAACTCCCAAGAAAAGAATGCGCCAAAGGAAGTCGATCCAAAACACTGGACTGCTTCTGTAATTGTTAATGGTGACTCTTATACTCGAGCAAGGAATTTATTTCAAGATAACAATATTAAAGTGCCGAGTGAAAAAGAGTTTTACCGTCATCAAAAAGAAATAGGTAAGGTAATACTAGAATATAAAGAGCAATCTATTAAAAATGCTCAACAAACAATGAAGAAAGATACATTTTTAAGCACTGATTCGCATTATAATGTTGGCAGAAATGCTACAGCGTGCCAAAGTTTAATGATGGACAACCGTGGAAAAGTTGTTGGTGAAACAACTGTTATAAAAAAGAGCTCTGGAGGAGACTTTGAAGGCCCATCCAACATGATGGAAACAGAATGTACAAAGAGGATGATGTCAAATTTTGACTTTACAAATGTTTCCACAGTGGTTCATGACAATGACAATAAAACGAAAGCCATCATCCAGCAATATGCTCCGAATGCTAAAATTACACTTGATCCTCGTCATTGTGTACGTGCAGTTGGCAGAGCTTTCGAAAAGCTTGAAAATGGTGGATATAAAGAAGCAGCAGGAAAAGAAACTGTTAATCAACAGAAAGAAAGTGAATCACAGCCAGCATTCCCAATCAAATCTAAAGCAGAAGAGCCGAAGAAACGTGGAAGACCATTAAAACACCAAGAAAAAGTATTTCATCAGATATATTCGAAAGTTATTAAGTGGTTCACTTTTATTATCATGCTTCCAATTGAAACAACGAAAAAAATTTTCCTATGGAAGAATACATTAAATCATTTTATCGGAAGGCATGAAAATTGCCTTCACGAAAAAGACAAAGAATATCCTGTGTTTCAGCCACTTACAAAACCTGATTTAGCGAAGCAATTTCAACGTTTTACAGATGATGCCGCAAAGTTGATTCCAGAAATTGATCCTAATGCTCAAACACAACAAAATGAATCGATACATCACTCAATGTTTACTCAGTGTCCCAAAGGAAACAACGCAAAATCGTTTGAAATGCGTACGGCTGTTACAATTTTACAAAAAAACGAAGGAGAGAAATGCAAACAAGAAATTGTTATATACGAAAACGATAAAAACAGTTTGACAGAAAAGTGACAACTTTACGTGTCAAAAATATAAAAAGTGATATTTTATTCATCATTATCTTCTTCATAATTTATTTCATATTCTTCTTCATATCCACCTTCATATTCTTCACTTTGTCCCTCCTTCTTTTTTTTACCATCTTTATTATCGATTTCTTCTTCCTCATCTTGGAATTCCATTGCTGGGTCTGAGCTGTTGTTGTGCACTACTAAGAGGAGATGTACCATTGCTGGGTCTGAGCTGTTGTTGTGCACTACTAAGAGGAGATGTACCATTGCTGGGTCTGAGCTGTTGTTGTGCACTACTAAGAGGAGTAGAACCATTACTCTTTGTAATTTCTTGTTCTTCCAAGTATCGATTCAACAAGATCTCATCTTTTGTTGGTAAGACTTCAATGCAATTGTAGAATTTTCCATTATGGAATATGTATAAACTTGTAAATTCTCTGGACGAGTGCTTGTAAAACTCTTCGATAGTAATAAGACGAAAGCACAGAAGGCTTTTGTAGTGTTAACTTGTTAATGCAATTACGTGATGTACCATCGCTGAGTGGAACATTAGTCAATAGCAACGATAGCTTTTGATGTTGGTGTAACCTGGTTAGAGATTGCTCTAGCCAGTGAAAGTCTATTTGGGTATAAATATCCAGAGAATGAATTTTGAATAAATAATAAATTGTGAACAATTGAATAAAATATAGAAAATATAAATAATTTTGAAAGATATTATTGAAAAAATATTTTTCACAAAAGTTGAATTCAAATTGTAAATTTTTTAAAAAATCTTTAAAGTGAAGAAAATAAAATTGGACAATGAGAAAACAACAATGAACTAAAAATTAGTGAATAACTACAATGGCGAAATTAAAATTACGATCAGAATAATTTTTATAAAAGAATGTGTTAGAAATTAGTAACGATTAAGATAAAATAAAAATTTGGGGAACGAGAAAAGTGATTGAATATTGGTAAACATGAATTTTTATTGAAAAATAAAATGAGATTAAGATTCTAAGCAGAAATTTTTAAAAATTAGAAAAATAAAAAACAATAAAGATAATAAAAAAATTGAAACTAAAAAAAATCGAAAAATAATGATAAAATAAATGAATAGTTGAAGACAAATAAAAATAAAATGTTATCAATAAGAAAATAATTTGAATAAGTTTCAATATAGATTGATCAATTTATGAATGGGAATCCAAAATTAGAACAGCCGAATTGGTATATTGATAACAAATGATATTATGTTATTAATAAGGTATAAATGTTTTGAATGTAATTCAAATTAATTTTGAATATGAAATTGAATAAGATTGAAAAATTAAATATATAGAATTTTGAATGAGTTTCCGTTGAAATGAATGTTATGGAAATGTAGAAAATATTAGCCTTTGGATGAATTGGAGGGTGAGAGATATTATTTCATACAATACTACTCTCACCCTCCAATTCCCAGCCAAAATGGCTAAAAATTGCCCGCAATGTGAACAATTGCGGGCAATTTTTAGCCATTTTGGCTTGGAACTAGAGCCTGCGAGGTACATGGATAGTATCAGTACCTCACAGGCTCTAGTTCTCTATATGGCGCCGAGAAATTTTGGTGAAATGTGGTCGCATTTCACCAAAATTTTTTCGGCGCCATAGGATGAATTGGAGGGTGAGAGATATTATTTCATACAATACTACTCTCACCCTCCAATTCCCAGCCAAAATGGCTAAAAATTGCCCGCAATTGTTCACATTGCGGGCAATTTTTAGCCATTTTGGCTTGGAACTAGAGCCTGCGAGGTACATGGATAGTATCAGTACCTCACAGGCTCTAGTTCTCTATATGGCGCCGAGAAATTTTGGTGAAATGTGGTCGCATTTCACCAAAATTTTTTCGGCGCCATAGGATGAATTGGAGGGTGAGAGATATTATTTCATACAATACTACTCTCATCCTCCAATTCCCAGCCAAAATGGCTAAAAATTGTCCGCAATTGTTCACATTGCGGGCAATTTTTAGCCATTTTGGCTTGGAACTAGAGCCTGCGAGGTACATGGATAGTATCAGTACCTCACAGGCTCTAGTTCTCTATATGGCGCCGAGAAATTTTGGTGAAATGTGGTCGCATTTCACCAAAATTTTTTCGGCGCCATAGGATGAATTGGAGGGTGAGAGATATTATTTCATACAATACTACTCTCACCCTCCAATTCCCAGCCAAAATGGCTAAAAATTGCCCGCAATGTGAACAATTGCGGGCAATTTTTAGCCATTTTGGCTTGGAACTAGAGCCTGCGAGGTACATGGATAGTATCAGTACCTCACAGGCTCTAGTTCTCTATATGGCGCCGAGAAATTTTGGTGAAATGTGGTCGCATTTCACCAAAATTTTTTCGGCGCCATAGGATGAATTGGAGGGTGAGAGATATTATTTCATACAATACTACTCTCATCCTCCAATTCCCAGCCAAAATGGCTAAAAATTGCCCGCAATTGTTCACATTGCGGGCAATTTTTAGCCATTTTGGCTTGGAACTAGAGCCTGCGAGGTACATGGATAGTATCAGTACCTCACAGGCTCTAGTTCTCTATATGGCGCCGAGAAATTTTGGTGAAATGTGGTCGCATTTCACCAAAATTTTTTCGGCGCCATAGGATGAATTGGAGGGTGAGAGATATTATTTCATACAATACTACTCTCACCCTCAATTTTAATTACTTAAACTCATTCTATTTTTTTGACATGTAAATGTCACTTTTACTGAGATCTGACACAATGTCAGATCTCTTTTTTTCGTATATAAGAAAATATACAATCGTGTCAATAATTACCAAATATCTCCTTCAATCCGCGAACTCCAAAAACTTGAATATGAGAAAAATAAATCCAGAAATCAAAAGAAAGCTACACCAGAAACAAGAAAAAAGATCAACAAGGCAAGAAATGCAAAAAGATTTCCTAAGGATAACCCTACAGGTGATTACAGAGGAGGAAAGTGGACCCCACAAGATATCTAATTTTCAAATTTGAAATAAACACATATTTTCTTTGTATTTGAAAATATTTTTATATTATAAGATTTTTGAACCTATAAGTAGCATGACAAAAATTATATAATTTGCTCCTTTTTTATTTTAGTATACAAATATCCCATTTGTTATATGTTCGGTATATATATGATGATATTGTAATCAATTATGCTTAATGAAGCTTTATCCCGTGAACCCCTCATATTATTGGAAAATAAATAGCGAAAACATGTAGAGCTGCTAAGTTCTCAAGTGTATGCTGATTTTTGGATTATTTCATGAAAACTAATGGCGGGATATCTTGCATTATTTAAAAAAATTGAACTATGCAAAAATAAATAGTATTATATTTTTTTCTCATGAAATGCTATTATGAGACAACCATAAAAAACCATATGTTGTATTTTTATAATTTGATTGATTTTTTTACTATTTCATTAATCTTTTATGAATAATAATTATTTTTAATATATGTGCTATTAAAATTTCAAATTTTGACTAATATATCTAAGTTATCTGAACGAAACATTTAGAAAATATCATACTTACATTGAAATAGCAAGTAGAGCATATTAATAGCAAGTTTCTTGGCTTTATATCTATCATCTATTGTTGTTTGATCAAACAAAATTCACTCTATTATATGGTGTCAATTAATTAAAACAATTTTTAATAGTTATTTATTTAGTGCGAATAAGTGCAAACTCATAAATGAATAACTTAATAGGAGTGTGGGACAAACTATCCAGTGTCACTTTTTTATTAACCTTATTTTAAAAAATTAATAAAATAATAATAAAAAATTATTTGAATCTTTTACATTAATTGTTTCTTTTTTAAAAGTACCTTTAAAGTACAATAAACAAGATTTGAATCTATTGATCCTTGTTGCAAACTTGAATATATTGCTTCAAGCATTTTTGAGAGTAGCCCATGCTAGCTTTTATCTCTTCTTGGATACCAAACTGGAGGAGCTCCATAGTGTTGAATATCACGGGCTCCATACAACAAATTGAATAAGGTATTTCAAAATTTGAAGGAAATGGTCCATCATTGAATGTAGTGGCCGGGAATTGAATGACATACAGATAGTTTGAGGAAATTTGTTATAAATTATAATATAATTGAAGAATTAATTATCAAAACAAGTCTAAGAGCCATTAGTCAGATTTTCCCGAAATGCAAGGTTAAGATTTTAGCAGCGACTAACTTTGAGTGTACATATATAATTGTTATACTGAGTACTTTCTATCTGTGTTACTTATTTGAGTCTAAGAGCCATTTGTCAGATTTTCCCGAAATGCAAGGTTAAGATTTTAGCAGCGACTAACTTTGAGTGTACATATATAATTGTTATACTGAGTACTTTCTATCTGTGTTACTTATTTGAGTCTAAGAGCCATTTGTCAGATTTTCCCGAAATGCAAGGTTAAGATTTTAGCAGCGACTAACTTTGAGTGTACATATATAATTGTTATACTGAGTACTTTCTATCTGTGTTACTTATTTGAGTCTAAGAGCCATTTGTCAGATTTTCCCGAAATGCAAGGTTAAGATTTTAGCAGCGACTAACTTTGAGTGAGTGTACATATATAATTGTTATACTGAGTACTTTCTATCTGTGTTACTTATTTGAGTCTAAGAGTCATTTCTACCATAGAACTAGATATTGTCTCTCATTAAATATATATAACTGTAAACTGCTTAATTCATTTATCTATTTAGATAAAATTATATTTATATAAGATTTCATGTTATTATTTCATCTTTATTATTTTTTTTATTCCTTTGAAAAGTGACACTGGATAGTTTGTCCCTTTCTCAACTTAATAGTAGAAATGAATTATCTGATATAAATCTCACATTTTGTCCATCAGAAATACTTTAATTGCATACGCATAACTATTAGTAATACGTCTGGAGTGTCAATTAATAACAATCTCACAACAAGTAAAATTCAGATTTTTATTAAACTTATTTTTTCCTAAAAGTTTTCTCAAATTACTATATATACATATGTGGATAAAATAATAGTAATATTGTAAAAAATTAGATAATTTTTTTATTTGAGAACCTCTCAAAAGTTCATTCAATTTATCAATTGTTTCGGTTTGATGTATATTCATTTCTGGAGCCTAAAACTTTAGCAATCATGACAATATCATATTCTCTTTCTAACTACGCAATGTAAGGGTATCCTTAAAGATATAAAAATTTGTGTAAAATATGAAAAATGACTTCTTCTTTTAAAATGATTACATGTTTGAATAATGCTTGGATAAACAATGTAATTATGATTAAC